TTTTTCAAAATATTGCAAATTATGAAAACAAATTTAAACAATTGAATAGTTTTTTAGGGAAACATACATAATTATCTTAGAATAAAAACTAGATCGCCAAAGTCTCAGTCCACTATTCTTTGTTGTTTCACATGAAAAAATACAAAACTATTTTTCAAGTTTATTGCAGTTGGATCAAATAGGAATCAAATAATATGTATTGGTTTTAATTTCTACAAACATTATCAAGTTGACTCCTATTTTTTACCTTATACTCAGTGAACTTATATGGCAGTTGAGAAAATTTGTTTTCATATATTCCAATGGTAGCACAAAATACATCTACAAAAGAGCAGCAATAAAAAACTTTTTTTTTTTAACTTTCAAGTGGTAAAAATAGAATGACCACTAGGTGGCAGAGCAATACCATCATTTAAATCAATAATCAACTTTTTTTTCTTCAAAGTATTGATTTGAAAGGTTTGAAATATTCAGCTGAAACATTATAATACCCCATTTATAATATTTTAAGGACATAGAAAAAATTCAGAACCAGGCTCATCAAGGCTAGCTTTAGCAACAGAAATAGAGACAACTATCAGAAAAAGTTGTTTTTGTTTTTGTTTGTTTTGTTTTCATTGTTTGATTTTTGTTTTTATATTCCTGGCTCACAAACACAAATCATTTCTTTGAAGTTTAAGGGCATACATACCCTATTTTGACATTATCAACACAGTAGCAAGTAGAAAAACAAACAGCTTTTAATTGTGCATAGACTCTGGCTTTAAAAGTTAGTATGAATATTTGAAATGAATAAGCAAAGTAAGTTTGTGGTAAGTTAAATTTTGAATTTTGTCCTATTTATACATAAACTTTGACTCTGTAAGAGGGAAGCAGTTTAAACTGCTCCTATGGTGAGCTGGGTATCTGTTCTGTCCATTGTACCATTTCTTTCCAGCTCCACTTTCTTATGGACCTGGTTTTCACCTGATAGAAATTGGTACACACTACACACCAAGGCTTCCTCTGACCTGGAAAGCTGATTGTTAAACTCTTGCCACCACATCCTTGAATGTACCTACTTAACTTTTATTGTTATACTCAAATAATTCCTTTAGACTTCAATTTAATAGTAAACAGAAACAAAATTTTTAAAATGCCATTTGTTTGTCTGAAAATACTTTGAAGGCTATTAACTCCATCCCTATTTGTTTTACAGGTAAGGGGTCAAATGTCCAAAGATGGTAAAATGACATAATGATACACTTGACATATTTGTTAATTTTAATTTTTGTTTCTTCATTATTTATTTTGACTAGAAGTGACTCATTGGCTCCTGGTCACTTATAGCTTCACCAATTTAAAAAATAAAATTCAGAATTGCATATCAAATAACAACACAATACCCCTCAAGACTTAATTTGAATCTATAATATTTTTATTTAATATATTTAGATGTCTCCAAGGTTGGCTGAAGAAATCATTCATTCAGCAAGTACATTTTGCAAAATTGCAATGTTTCACATTGACATTGTTAAGGGAAATAGTGAATTAAACCTAGAATTTATTGACAGTGCATTTCAATTTATTTAACTGACAGGGGGAAAAAAAAGCAAACTAAATGTGTGCTTTTGCTCTATTTTACTCAAAGAATATTTCCAAAGATCTGGGGCACGGAAACATTTCCCAAAACACTCATCTCTTACTCTGATAATAACCAGCAGCATTCATGGGATTTTCATGTTCCCAAGACCAAAGCTGTTTCCAAAGACCCTCAAGAAAACCTTTTGTTTTGTTCTAAGGCACTTCCTCTCCTAACTCTCTTCATATGTAAGACAATAGCACATTTCTGGCTAATGTAGCACCATATAGTGTATTGGTTGAGGCCACAGGTTCTGGGTGTGGATCTGATTAGTAACCATGCAGATGATGGGCAATATGATCTTATTTTATAACACAGAGATGTAATAATGGCACACCACTTAATATATTGTAGAAGTTTGCATGTGAAGGGTGAAACATTGCCTATAATGAAGCCAGATTTAAAGTTAGGTAGTCGGTGTAGTCAGGTAAATCAGGTCTAATATCAGTGAAATCTAAAATGGAGGCCATTCTGAGAATGATTCCGGGAAATGCAGGTCAACTCATGGAATGTTAATGAAGTCCCAGAAAGGCCCTAGGCCAAAGTCCACCCCAAAGAAATGTTAATGGAACCCAGGAAACAGCCCCCAACAGATTTGAAGATAGCCCACCCCAAGAAGTGATAATGAAGTCCTTCCTGCCCAGATTTCTTGTTTGGCCCACCTGTGTCCCACCCCTCGGGCCTTTCAACCCACATTCCATCACCAAAACTATAAAAAGGGGAGACAACCGCACTTCCATGGATTCCACCTCTTGGGTCCCCTTCTTCCTCCAGGAGAAGTCTTTTCTGCTGTCCTTTAATAAACTTCTAATTTCTACTCTAACCTTGCCTCGGCATGTGCTTTTCTGGTGTTATTCTTCAACATGGGGGAAGAAAGGACTCTGGCCAACAGTGGTAACAATAACATAGAACTTGCTAGATGCACATACTCTATTTTATTGCCTCATGCCTGGCTTTGACATGAAAGATTAGATAATGGTTTTCCTGAGCAAAAACAGGAGCATGCGCATGATGAAAAAATCAAGGAGCACTCTCGTGTTTTCACTAGTTTTCTATAAGAGGTGAAATGAGAATTTTTCTCTTGGAGTGTCAAGCAGGAAATATCATTTGAACTAGAAAGATGCAGCATTTTCTTTTGTTTTTTTCACATGGTGAAAGTGAAATATTTTGCTTGTTAAAAATTGACTGTCACCTGGAGCAAATTCATCTAATATAAGACCGTTTAGGATTGTGAAGGAAGTCAAAGATCTCATAAAACTCATGACATTTAATAAATTGCAAAGAATTTATGATCAGGTGAATACAGGAGGAACAGTCAATAAAATGGGAATTGTTGAGTTTCTAAGATCCATGAAGCATATAAAAAGAAAAACAGCCTACTGTCCTGAGACTCCTGGGTGGGCCCCAAGCAGCACACAATGCAAACAAAAGCATCACAGCCTAAATGGGAAGACGAGACTTCATTCTTGTGTACAATAAGCATTTTGCCTTTTAAGAAGTTTTAAACTTATTAAAAGTAAAATTTCAAAATTAAAACAAACATTTCTACTTTGTTATTATTATTAGAATAAACATTTTGAAGACGGATTATTAAAACAGATGGAGTAAAAGTGGGAAGCCCAATCAATAATAGCAATTTCTATCTTTAAGTTGTTGATTTGTGCACAGGAGCTCATCCCTTTCACCTCATAGGGACATCTTATCAGTTTCCCTGTCTCTGCTGGATCATTGATATCAGCCTAAAAACTGCAGGAATAATGGTTGGAGCCTTTGCAATTTGGGAAAGGTCCTGAGTAGCTCTTCTATTGAAGTTGATCATATCCTACTAACCTTGTGGGGAGTAATTTACAATTCTGTAGACACAGAGGTTGATTTATAGAAAAGAAAAGCAGTGACAGTAAAGTCTGTCCATGGACATGCAAATTATTTCCAGGAAATGCAATTGATCAATCCCCTGTGTGTTTACCAATTGGGTCTGCTGTAGCCATTCTCAAATTTATTTTGAATTTCTTATGAGGCTAAAAATGTGTAATACTTTGTGTTCTTTCTGAGCTAACCATAATATCTTATTGATTTCTACCTTAATTTTTGTCTTAAATAAAATCTTCCATATATTTTATTTGTATAATAGCCTTAATTATGTCTTCTTTTTTTAAAAAATTTACTCTTTTACAAAATAAACTCCTCTGAGACAAAATATCTTTTCCTTCCATATTTTCTCACTTCTGATTCTCCTGTCTGTACTTTTTGTATCTAATGTCTGTCGTTACAATTTTATTTTAAAGGAAAACTTTCTCCTCCATCATTATCTTTTCTAGGTGACTGAAGCTGCTCTCATGAAGATTAATAGTGACGTTCCTCTTGATATTTCCAGGCTTTCACAAAACATTATCCCTCCTTTTACCCTAACACATTTACATTTTCACTTTTCTTTGGGTTCACATCAAACTCTCCTAGATTTCCTGCAAAATATCCAAAAGCCCTCTCTTAATTTCTCTTTTGAGCTCTTGATCAAGTCGGGGCTCGGACCCCCTCCCCGAGCTCAGGGTAACTTTTAAAGTGGAGGGGACCCCAGTGAACTTTGAAGTAGATACAGGAGCAGTATATTCAGCCCTCAAGGCCCCACTGGGCCCTCTATCTAATAAAAGATCCTTAGTTCAAGGGGCTAATGGCAGTAAATATCGGGCTTGGACAACAAAGAAGACAATGGACCTAGGAAGGGGAAAAGTCCAGCCCTCTTTTCTAGTAATCCCAGAATGCCCGGCCCCATTAATGGGCAGGGACCGACTCACCAAGCTCCAGGCTAAAATAACCTTTAACCCTGATGGTCCTCAAGTGGAGTTCCTACACCCTTCAGTAAAGACCCCCATAGTCACGGCTCTGACTATGTCAGTAGAAGATGAACATCAACTCTTCACGGCCCCTGGGACCGATCAAACAGCTAGACTACCCCAGAGGTGGATAAAAGATTATCCTGATGCCTGGGCAGAAACTGCTGGGTTAGGTCTGGCCATAAAACAACCTCCAATAGTAGTAGAATTAAAAGCCTCTGCCTCTCCAATCAGTGTCAAACAATATTCTCTAAGCAAAGAAGCTAGGGATGGGATAAGACCCCATATTCAGAAATACCTGGCTCTAGGGGTCCTAAGGCCCTGTCAATCGGCCTGGAATACCCCCCTGTTACCAGTAAGAAAGCCAGGAACTGGGGATTACCGTCCTGTTCAAGACCTGAGAGAGATCAACAACAGAGTGCAGGTCATTCACCCCACGGTGGTGCCTAACCCATATAATTTGCTTAGCACTCTGAATCCAGAGCGGATATGGTACACTGTGCTGGACTTAAAAGATGCTTTCTTCTGCTTGCCCCTGCATAAGGACAGTCAGTTGTTGTTTGCTTTCGAATGGATAGACCTAGAAATAGGAACATCTAGCCAACTAACCTGGACTCGACTCCCACAGGGGTTCAAAAACTCCCCCACTCTCTTTGATGAAGCTCTCCACAGGGACCTCAACGACTTCAGAACTGCACACCCAGAACTCACCTTACTCCAATATGTGGATGATCTGCTGCTGGCAGCCGACACCAAGGAGAACTGTGAGTCTGGGACCCAAGCACTGTTATCCGAGCTTGCTCAGTTCGGATATAGGGCTTCTGCCAAAAAGTCCCAAATTTGTCAACAAGAAGTAATCTTCCTGGGTTATTCTCTTAGGGGCGGCAAATGATGGCTTACTGAGCCCAGAAAATGAACTGTTGTGCAGATACCGCCCCCATCTAATAAGAGACAGCTCAGAGAGTTTCTTGGGACTGCCGGCTTTTGTAGGTTATGGATTCCTGGGTTTGCGTCTTTGGCTGCCCCTTTATACCCATTGATAAAGGGGGATGTCCAATTCCAATGGACCCCTGAACACCAACAGGCTTTTGATAATATCAAAAAGGCATTGCTATCTGCCCCGGCCTTGGCACTCCCAGATGTAGAAAAACCCTTCACTCTCTACATGGAAGAAAAGAAAGGAATAGCGCGGGGAGTGCTCACTCAGACTTTGGGACCTTGGAAAAGGCCGGTAGCATACTTATCAAAGAAACTGGACCCAGTGGCTAGTGGGTGGCCCCATTGCCTAAGGGCCATAGCAGCGGCAGCCCTTCTGATAAAGGATGCTGATGAATTAACGTTGGGACAGAAGCTGACTATTATAGCCCCCCATGCCCTGGAGAGCATCATCTGTCAGCCTCCAGACAGGTGGCTATCGAACTCCAGAATAACCCATTACCAGAGCCTCTTACTTGACAAGGACAGAATAACGCTGGGACCCCCTGTTCCACTCAACCCAGCTACACTACTGCCAGAAGAATCATCAGGACTTGTAGCTCATGATTGTCAACACATACTGGCAGAGGAGACCAGTGTACAACGAGACTTAAAGGATCAGCCACTGCCCCACCCTGAGGTCATATGGTTTACGGATGGGAGCAGCTTCCTCCAAGATGGTAAGCGGCGGGCTGGAGCAGCAGTAGTTAGCAAAACTAATGTTATCTGGTCCTCTGGCCTTCCAGAAGGAACATCAGCTCAAAAAGCAGAGCTAATTGCCCATACAAAAGCACTGGAGCTAGCATCAGGCAAAAGAGCCACCATATACACTGATAGCCGCTATGCATTCGCCACTGCTCATGTGCACGGGGCTATTTACCAGCAAAGGGGGCTACTAACCTCCGCCGGGAAGGAAATAAAGAACAAAGATGAGATCCTCCACCTTCTCTCGGCAGTAAAAGGCCCTAAAGAACTGGCTATAGTGCACTGTCAGGGGCACCAGAAGGGAAATGACCCCGTGGCAGTTGGAAACAGGCGGGCAGATGAGGAAGCTAAGTTGGCAGCCCTAAACGGAGTGACCCTGTTAACTGTTTCTACACCAGGGGAACAACAACTGGGAAACTTGGCTGCACAGGAACATTCAGGCAACTTATGGCCTGGGGACACAGACACCGGACTCAGGGATCCCACAGAGCCAAGTTTACAATTCCAAAAAGCTCAACTCTACATCAAAGATGTACACCAGCTCACCCATTTAGGCTCGAAGAAGTTACAGGCACTCTTGAAGGACAAAAGAAAGGACTTATCGTTGACTGACTCGCAGAGGAAATAAATAGCTGAGCAGGTGACTAGAGCTTGTCAAGTCTGTCAATTAGTTAATGCATACCCATCCAAGCTTCCAGTAGGAAAGCGTTTGCGAGGGACCAGACCCGGACAGTTCTGGGAAGTGGACTTTACTGAAATCAAGCCAGCAAGGTATGGACTTAACTATCTCCTAGTCTTTGTAGATACGTTTTCAGGATGGGTAGAAGCCTTCCCCACGAAGAAAGAAACAGCTCAGATGGTGGTCAAAAAGATTCTGAAAGACATCTTTCCAAGATTTGGACTGCCTAAGGTAATAGGGTCCGATAACGGACCGGCGTTTGTGGCCCAGGTAAGTCAGGGATTGGCCAGGACCCTGGGGATTAATTGGAAGTTACATTGTGCCTATAGACCCCAGAGTTCAGGACAGGTAGAAAGGATGAATAGAACCATCAAAGAGACCTTAACAAAATTAAGCTTGGAGATCAGCATAAAAGATTGGACTATGCTCCTACCTTATGCACTGTTTCGTGCAAGAAATACCCCCTCTGTCTCTTTGTGCAACCTCACCCCCTATGAAATTCTCTATGGGGCCCCTCCTCCAATCAGGGATCTGACCCCAACCCTGACACTTAACAAGATTCCGATTCCTTTCACACCCCCTTGCTTAACAGACTTAAAGCCCTTGAACACACCCAGCGATACCTGTGGAAACAGTTGGCCACTGCTTATCAGCCCGGAGAAAAGGGAACCCCACACCGATATCAAGTGGGAGACTTCGTCTACGTGAGACGACATCAGGTGTCATCCTTGGAACCCCGCTGGAAAGGACCATACCAGGTGCTGCTTATAACACCTACAGCAGTGAAAGTAGATGGAATTGCTCCCTGGATCCATGCCTCCCATCTCAAGCCTGTGCCCTGTCCAGACTCCGGCTGGAAACTGGAACAGACTGACCACCTATCACTCGAATGGCCCTCCAGCCTATTACTTCTCAATTGGACTTTTAGCATGGACCACTCGATAGACACGATATTTTTTAAGGAGGACTCCAAACTGCTTGCCCCACACCGTCCCTTTTCAGCCTGAAGAAGCCAGAGAGATCATCTTCGTCCCCCTTCCTCACAGCAGTAAGGAGTTCCCAAATTAGGGGGGGGAATGAAGCCAGATTTAAAGTTAGGTAGTCAGTGTAGTTAGATAAATCGGGGTCTAATGCCAAGTGAAATCTAAAACGGAGGCTATGCTAAAAATGATTCCAGGAGACACAGGACAACTCGTGGTAATCAGAAGGCAATATGCTCCACTGACAGAGATAAAAAAATGAGACTCCCCAACAATTATGATTCATTACTTTTAAGATTAAAAGTAGTCAGAAAAAGGAGTGGGGAATGAAAGGGTAAAGTTTCTAAGCTGGAAGGCTTGAATTAAAATGTAAAAGATTAGGTATTATTGAGTTCCTCTGTTACACCCAGATTCCTGAGATAGTTAAGACAACACCCTACTAGCCATTTAGCCTAGGGCCCTGTGCAGTTTGTCACAGGGCCCGAACCAATCAGTTTGAATGTGTACCCCACTTAGGAATGACCAATCACCCCCGCCCAACCTGTTCCCGCCAATGAATGTGCCAATCACGTCTCAAAGTTATTGTTCAATTTTCCCGCGCCTCATGATGATTTGTTCTGATGTATGCAAAGCCTCCCACCCTCCCCAAAAAGTGTACTTAAGCTCTGCTTGAACCTCTGCTCGGGGCTCTGGGCTGCTCTCCCTCCTTGAGTGAGCACAGAGTCCCAACGCGCTGGAACGGATCCCTAATAAATTTCCCCCCTGCGATTGCATAAAGTGAGTCTCTTGTGTGGTCTTTCCCCTCCGACGCTTCGCTGCACCCCAACACAACAACAACAAAATCTCATGAAAAATTTAGTAGAGCAAGAATTTAGAAGAGATCTTGATCTTGGACCAATGATTCAAAAAGCTGTTTCAGTGACTGTCTCATTTAAGAAACTATATCATCATTTAAAATGGTCCCTTCATTGCCATCACTCACAGAAGCACAGCATCCTGTTTTTTTTTCTGCTTAATAGATGAGCCAGTCACAAAACCCCTAAAGGCTTCGGTTACCATCTGCACATGCATCACCATTGCTGTTTTAAATCTAATGTACCTAAAAGCCCTCAATGGTCTTTCAAACAAACAACAAAAAAAACCCAGTTATTATTTTATAGTAAATAAGTTACTATTTAAATTGATTTCATCAAGTCTTGCATGTCTTAAAGCAACTGATTTTAAAGTATGAATTTCTATTTAATAGAGGAGAATTGGTTAACTCATTGCTAATACACACATTTTTTACTAAACATATAATAAACAGACTGGAATAGATGTAGAAGAAAAACTGAGTGGTAAACAGAGTAAGCTTACTATTTTTACCTCACAATCTGATAATGTTACTAAAAAATGAGCCATAAACTGAACTGGGTCCACAGCATCAAAATTGAATATAAACACTCATTAACTCACTCACAGAAAGAGCAAGAACTCCATTATATGTCATATTCTGCATATTATGTGTATGCATGTGCAAATGTACACCTTATAAATGTACATATATGTACACTGTAGTGTGTTTGTATATACACTGTGTATTTGTATGAGTGTGAGATACAGGTTTTAAGACTGACTCCTTTTTTTCATCTACTCATTCATTAGAGCCATTGTGATTAGATTATGATCTCACTGCAAAATGGTTCAGAGTACATGTGATGAGTCAGGCACTTTGTCATTGTTAGAAAATGAACTTTTCAACTTAAGCTTAATTTAGGATAGTCCAGCTATGTGAGTTTGGACACAACACATATACCATTTTAAATATATATATTTAAATATATAAATATATATTTAATATTAATATATATTTAAATATAAATATATTTATCACCATAAATTTTGTTGTAATAGATTTCAAAGAACTTACATGTTTTGTCCACAGAAGTTAATCAGGTTGGCCACTAAGAAATTGTATCTAGCCCTATGACTTTGACATTCAAATCTTTTCTACAATTAATTAGTTAATTAATTTTAATTAGGTTTATATGACAGCAGATTGCATTTTGATTCATTTACACAATTACAGCACAACTTTTCATTTCTCTGGTTGTACAATGTGTAGCATCACACCATATGGACAATCATACATGTACCTAGGGGTAATGATGTTCATCTCATTCCACCATTTTCCTGCCCCCATACTCCCTCCCCACCATTGCCTCCCCTTTTTCCCATCAAAGTTTCTCCATTTTTTCTGTGTCCCCCTCATTATGGATCAGTTTTCTCAGCAAAAGAAACAACCAATGAGGTGAAGACAGAGGCTACCTTTTGGGAGCAAATATTTGCCACACACATGTCAGATAGAACACTAATCTCCAGGGTATATAAAGAACTCAAAAAACTTAACACCAAATAAACAAACAATACAATTAACAAATGGGCTAATGAGCTGAACAGACACTTCTCAGAAGAAGGTACACATTTGATCAACAAGTATATGAAAAAATGTTCAACATCTCTAGCAATTAGAGAAATGCAAATCAAAACTAAGATTTCATCTCATGCAATTCAGAATGGCAGTTATCAAGAAAACAGACAACAAGAAATTTTGGCAAGGATGTGGGGGAAAGGACACGCTCATACCTTGCTGGTGGGACTGCAAATTGGTGCAACCACTCTGGAAAGCAGTATGGAGATTCCTTGGTAAACTTGGAAAGGAATCATCATTTGATCCAGCTATTCCACTCCTCAGTGTATACCCAAAGGACTTAAAATCAGCATACTACAGGGATGCAGACACATGAATGTTCATAGCATCTCAATTCACAATAGCTAAACTGTGGAAGCAACCTCCAATAGATGAATGGATAAATAAACTGTGGTGTATAGACATTCAAATCTTCAAAACGTTGCCACATTACCTGTCCACTGGCAACACAAGAAGAAGTTCTGTTTTAATAGTAACATAGTGAAAGAACTATAGGTATTTGCTTCCCTCCAAAAATCTGGGGCCACCTTTTTATGAGAAGAGAGTAGAAATTTTGGTGATTTTCTCTGCGGGTAACTATGAACTGAGGTAGAAATTTCTTTTCTGAGAGCAAAGCTTGTCTTTTCTATCATTTCCCTTTGGAAGGAAAAGAGGAAAATAGACAGCCTTTGATTGGTTCTGCCCATTTTCCTGGCTTCAATCTCTCCCGCAGTGTGGCTGGGCACAAATCAAGAGCCAATGAAGCAGGAACAAACTTTATTTCTGAACTCCACCAGCACGCCCCACACACGCTCCCCGGGAATTCTCCCAAAGGCCAAGTGGCTCCTCCAGGAACCACCAACCGGAAATCCCTCCTCCGCCACTTCCCCAACCAATGGGAACTCTCCGGGAATACCCAGGAGAACTCCAAAGTAGCAGGCCAAGGCAGACAGCAGGGGTCCAATATACACAGCTTAACGTAACCATTATCATCTCAATGGCTTGCTGGTGTCACCTCTCAACCACTCCAATCTGGCAAAAATGACATGCATCATTCAGACTGGGCTATGACTCTCAGCAATTCTCTAAATATGAAAGTCTGACTGTGGAACCAAAACTTGGATTTCCAAGTACTATTAACAAAGTATAGCCCCAAATACTTTGTTTTAAATGTTTTTTGTTGTTGTTGTTCTTTTTGTTTTTCACAAGTAGTATTTCTTTTCATTGCTAAGCCATTGTGAATTCTATGATAAATGTGTACAAGAACATAGGTGTAATGATTTTGTGGATCCACTATTACACATAAGATGGATGGAATATAATATCTTTAATTTAGACATTATCTTTATAACTACAAAAGGCTTGTTGCTGTATTAGTAAAACTGTGCCAATCACAGGTAGTTTTCACTTCCAATGTTTCCACTGCACCCATTCAATACTTCTATCTCTTTCCAGTCTGACCATTTCATCAATTTGAAGTTTTTATATTTTGATTATACAATGTAAGTATTCATTAGCTGGAGAAAGTACTCCTTTAATGCAAGTTACTGATGGTAGATGCTTAAGCAGGTGATAATATAAAAAAATGGATATGATTTCTAAAATTACCATTTGAAACCATACATATTTCTTAAACCCCTTGTGTCTTTATGCATGTATTGAACAAAACATGGATCAAATTTATTTTTAATTTATTTGACAGATATATTAGAGCAGTTAGACATTATGTTAAAAAATGGAAAATAAATAGATACATAAAATATAAACAGACATAAAATTTCAAAATAACTAGCAATTAGATAATCTTAATTCAATAGTTTTGAGTGTACATGTAATATATAGTTTAATCATTGGCTGTTAATAAGATTGCATGGCTCCTTATGTTCAAAATTAAGTGATAATAAATTATATAAATTGTTGATTTTTGTGAAACCTGATATAAAAAGATTTTCCTTATGATATTTCAATCTCTCAAACACCCACACCATTTATACACAGATATTTTCACCACCCACATACACACACACACACACACACACACACACATGCAAACATGCACACACTTACACATATTCACCATATTCTCATACACATTCACACACACACAATAAAGGAAGCCATACACATGAACATGTCTATGTATTCCTTGGAAAAATACTACATTAAACGAAGTCAAAGAGAAGAACCAATGATTATGTTGCTAAAGCTACTTTGCTCTGGAATGAACAGATTGTGTAAAATAAGGCAATCACTTTATCCTCAGGGAAAGCAGTAGGAGTTCTAAGATAGAAAAAGATTGCAGGCATCAGAAACAAGACTACCACTGAGATATGAGATGCACAGGTAGAGAGGGCTTTGCTTCTTCCTTCAGCTGAGAGATTTCTTAAAGTAAATAATATAATGATGTAAGAGAGAAATAAAATAACAAACATAAGTAATATGATGACTCCTGAGCTGATAACCATGAGGACACCAATCATGTAGGTATCAGTACAGGCAGTTTTGAGCAAAGGAAAAAATATCACAAAAGTAGTGATCGATTTTATTTGGACCACAGAAGGGCAACTGCATTGTCAAGAATAATTGAGGAAAAGAATGGGCAATGCCAGCAGCCCAGGCAGCTAAAATTAGGAAGTTACATTTTGTCCTGTTCATGATAATCATATAGTGGAGAAGTTTGCCAGATGGCAACATAAGGATCAATGGCCATGGCTGTAATAATGAAGATCTCACTGCTGCCAAAGAAGTGCATGGTAAAGACCTGTACCATGCAATAACCATAGGAAATGGTTTGAGTCCCCTTTAGCAGGCCACCAATCAATTTTGATGTAACACTGGAAGTATAGCAGATATCTATAATTGATAACTGGCTAAGGAAATAGTACATGGGCTGGTGAAAATGAGGGATGCATAGAATGGAAATGAGAATCAGAAAGTTTTCTACCAGCAGAGCAACAAAACAGTAAAATAAGCACGAAGCAAAAACATTTCCACTTTCTTGTCATCAGAAAGTCCCAGAAGAATGAATTCTGAGATGTTTCTCTGGATTTCCATATATTAAGTTGAATGTATGTTTTGCACAAATAAATTTAATATCTGAAAGAAAGAATGAAATCAGAAATTTAAGTGAAAATGAACAACCTGATAACCATACTGACTTAATGCACTAAAAAGTAAATTAAGATGAATAGTATTAAGTAGGCTTGATTTATTAAAAACATGCTCTTTCTTATTTACTATATCTTATTTTACAAACTGAATTTTGTAGGTGCTTATAATGGGTTTGCAGAAATAATGTGCATTTAACTAAAATTTACTTGAAATTATTTAAAAATACATCTTATTTGAAAGTTACAAATGTTAGTGCCATTTTACATAATTAGATGAAATAACAGCTGAATTGTTCTAAGGTAAGAACAATTTTTTAAATGATATGATTTTCCTGTTAACATAAATACAGAAGAGAAATAAAGAACTAAAGTGAGAAGAATTATTATAATTTAAAAAAAAGATTTTATTGCCATGGTGATGGTAAAGAAAACTCTTAAGAGAATAAAAATCATAAAATTTAGAAATAAATGATATTAAGCAATCACTGAACAAGAAGTAAGGACAGTGACAGCTCAGAGAGGTAAACAGGAGGAAGAAAGTAAAATGAACTGACCAACGTGAATCTTGAGCTAATTGTCAAGCTCTCCAAGTCTTGTGTTCCTTATCTGCACCAGGGAGGGAGCATTACATAATCAGAAATACAATGATGGGGCTGGGAATGTGGCTCAGGTGGTAG